CGTCATTGTTGTTTGGCGGGTCCGGGCTGGGGATTCGAACCCGCCACCTTAGGTGTACGTGGCTGGCGCCTTAGCCGGTTGAGCTATAGGCGCCAAGCCGGCTCTTACTTTCTAAGATGTCTTTCCTTTTAAATAGGAAGTGACCTGTGTTTGCATCTGAATAGTTTTCTCAGCCTGCTTCTTGCCCAAAGAAGTCGGACACACACACACGCACACACACATACACACAGCATGCAATACTACTCAGCTGTAAAAAAGAATGAAATCATGTCTTTTGCAGCAACATGATCGGTGCATAATGTTGGAGGTCCTTATCTTAAGTGCATTACCTCAGAAACAAAGTCAAATATCACATGTTCCAGTTTATAAGTGGGAGCTAACTAATGAATACACACAGACATAGAGAGTGGAATGATAGACATTGGAGAATCTGAAAGGTAAGAGGATGGAGTGAGGTATAGGATGAGAAACTACCTAATGGGTGCTACATACACTAATCTGGTGATGGTTGCACAAAAAGCTCAGACTTCACCTCTATGCATTAAGTATATTCATGTAACAAAACTGCACCTATACCCCCAAATCTTTTTTTTTTTTTTTGAGACTGACTCTCACTTTGCTGCCCTGGGTAGAGTCCTGTGGCATCATAGTTCACAGCAACCTCAAACTCTAGGGCTCAAGCACTTCTCTTGTCTCAGCCTCCTGGGTAGCTGGGACTACAGGTGACCGCCACAACGCCTGGCTACTTTTACAGACTGGGTCTCACTCTTGCTCAGGCTAGTCTCGAACCTGTGAGCTCAGGCAATCCACCAATCCACTTGCCTCAGCCTCCCAGAGTGCTGGGATCACAGATGTTTTTTAAAAAAATACACAGAGTTTTTTTTTAAAAATAGATTTGGGATGCTGGGCGTGGCCATGGCACTCTAGCCTCGGCAACAGAAGGACTCTATCTTCAAAAAAAAAAAAAAGAATAACCAGCCACGTACACCTAAGGTGGCAGGTTCGAATCCCCAGCCCGGACCCACCAAACAACAATGACGGCTGTAACCAAAAAATAGCCGGGCGTTGTGGCGGGCGCCTGTGGTCCCAGCTACTTGGGAGGCGGAGGCAGGAGACTCGCTTGAGCCCAGGAGTTGGAGGTTGCTGTGAGCTGTAATGCCACGGCACTCTACCCAGGGGGACAGCTTGAGGCTCTGTCTCAAAAAAAAAAAAAAGAAAAAGGAATAACAACAAAGAAAGCTCTATGGGCCTTTTTGGGGGTGGGGCAGAGTTTCACTTTGGCACGGTAGTGACATGGTGTCATAGCTCACAGCAACTTCAAACTCTTGGGCTCAAGTGATTCTCTTGCCTCAGCCTCCTGAGTAGCTGGGACTACAGGTGCCTGCCACAGTGCCTGGCTATTTTTAGAGGCAGGTCTCGCTCTCGTTCATGCTGGTCTCAGACCGTGAACTCAAGCAATCCACCTACCTCAGTCTCCCAGAGTGCTAGGATCACAGGTGTGAGCCACCATGCCCTACCCAGTTCAACAGAAGGCACCCCACTCTCTCAATAGAGAGCCTTCTTTAGTCTACAAGTGCTGTGGGATAACACCCTTAAGACTTTTAGAAGCCCTTTTGTCTAGTTGAAAGGGTCTAGGGAGTATCACCTTAAATTTTTAGATCTCAACAATGTTTGTTCTTAACAGAGGGGTTTTTTTGTTGTTTATTTTTGTTTGTCTGTGTCAAAACAAGGTCTTGCTCTGTTGCCTGGTCTAGAGTGCTAGAAGATTACAGGCCGTAGCCACCAAGCCTGGCCTTGTGTTTTTTTGTTTTTGTTTTAAGAGACAGTACGTAACTATATACAGGCGTAAGCCTATGCACCTAGCAAACAAAAGGTTATACTGTTGACCCCTTTTTGTTTTCTTTTACATGGAATGCTTCACAAATTTGCATGTTATCCTTGCACCAGGGCCATGCTAATTTTCTCTGTATTGTTCCAATTTTAGCATATGTGCTGCCCAAGTGAGCATCTTCTATTTGTTTTAATCTAAGGTGACCAGACATCCCGCTTTTGGCGGGACAGTCCCGATTCTTAACAGCTTGTCCTGTGTCCCGCAGCATTTTTTTAAAGTCAGGAGTTTTGGAAAGAATGAGTGACAAGCTAGGGAACAGGCAGGACAACGGGAAGGGAATATACGGCTGCTGAAAAGGTTAATGTAACTCCATTTGGGAATGAAGAGGTTAATGTAACTTTATTTGGAAATGAAAAGGCTAATATAAATTCCCTACTCCCCTCCTGGGCAAGGTCGCCCAGGTGGACCGATGCCCTACTTCTTTGAGCCACAGGCACTGCCCTATACATAATTTTTTTTAATGTAATATATTTGTAAATTGTACTTATGTTGAAATTTTAAAAATATATATTACAATACTATTTTTGCGTTCTATGAAAATTTTTGTTGCTCCACATAGTCCAAATTTTTAATTAAGAACACTCCCCCACCCCCATCAATGGTGTCCTGCTTTACCAATGTTAAAATCTGGTCACTTTATTTTAATCTTAACTCTGAGGCCATTTTTACTGGTAGTGTCCTGGACTTAATTTTTGCCCTGAAATAATTTCTTACTTTGAGAGCCTTTTGTGAGACAGAGAGGGCAGGAATGAAAAAGAGTTTTGTCATTTGATTTACCAAGTCTTTTTAGAAATATTTTCTCGGGTGGTGCCTGTGGCTCAGTGAGTAGGGTGCCAGCCCCATAAACCGAGGGTGGCAGGTTCAAACCCGGCCCCAGCCAAACTGTAACAAAAAAATAGCTGGGTGTTGTGGCAGGTGCCTGTGATCCCAGCTACTGGGGAGGCTGAGACACGAGAATCACCTAAGCCCAAGAGCTGGAGGTTGCTGTGAGCTGTGATGCCACAAGCACTCTACTGAGGGCGACAAAGTAAGACTCCACCTCTTAAAGAAAAAAAGAAAGAAAGAAATATTTTCTCTAGCTAGATGTGGTGGCTCACATCTGTAATTCTGCACTTTGGGAGGCAGAGGCTCGAGGATCGCTTGAAGCCAGAAGTTCAAAACCAGACAAGCAAGAGCAAGAACCTGTCTCTACAAAAATATAGAAAAATTAGCCAGATATGATGGTGCCCACTGATAGTCTCAGCTATTGTGAAGGCTGAGGAAGGAGGATTGCTCAAGCCCAGGAGTTTGAGGTTGCAGTGAGCTATGATGAGGCCACTGCATTTTAGCTTGGGCAACAGACAAAAACCATGTCTCAAAAAGAAAGGCCTGGCATAGTGGCTGATTTCTATAATCCAGGACTTTGGGAGGCTGAGGTGGAAGGATCACTTGAGGTCAAGAGTTCAAGACCAGGCTGAGCAAGAGGGAGACCCGTCTCTACCAAAAAAAAAAAAAAAAAAAAAAATAGCCAGGCATGGTGGAGCATACCTGTAGTCCCAACTACGTTGGAGGCTGAGGTAGGGGGCATCACTGGAGCTCAGGAGTTTGAGGTTGTAGTGAGCTACGATGACACCATTGCACTCCAGCTGGGGCAATAGGACAAGACCCTGTCGACATCAGAAAAAGAAAGAAAGAAGAAAAAAACAAAAAGAAAGAAATAGATTCTCCAAATTCTGTTTGAAAATTGAATAGTTCCTTTTTAGTTCATCTCTCTCCTGAAATGCCTTATCATAGGCAGCTAAAGTAAGCCAATTGGCATTTTCAGCAGTCTTCTTGAAATATTGTTAGCTAAATTCACAACTTTGTTAGATATCTTTTCTGGCTTCTAAGTTACCACAGATGATAGCCAATACATGACACAGGTTCCAGCTTCCAGCAGCAATTTCCCCACTGTTCCTCCTGCCTTAACTACTGGTCTCTTCCCTATCCTTCTAACCTCTGCTTTCCAATTAGTCCCAAAGCCAATGATACAAAGTTTAGGTTTTTGTTATGATAGCACTCTACTTCTGATACTTTACTTCTATTTCAGTTATTTATTACTATGACAAACCAGACATAGAGTCTGAAACAGTAATTTTTTTACTTGAAACAATAAATTTCCCAGCACTCTGGGAAGCCAAGATAGGTAGATTGCCTGAGACCAGTCTGAGATTAGGCTTATCTGGAGCGTTCTGCTCCACGCAAAGCAGCCAAGGTCGTTCATTTGACTGCATTCAGGGCCAGGCGAGGTGGCTCACACCTGTGATCCTAGCACTCTGGGAGGCCGAGGTGGGTGGATTGCCTGAGCTCACCAGTTTGACACCGGCCTGAGCAAGAGTGAGACCCCATCTCTAAAAATAGCCAGACATTGTGGTGGGCACCGGTATTGCTACCTACTTGGGAGGCTGAGGCAATATAATTGCTTGAGCCCAAGAGTTTGAGGTTGCTGTGAGCTGCGATGCCATGCACGGCACTCTCTACTGAGGGTGACAAAGTGAGACTCTTGTCTCAGAAAAAAAAACAACTGCATTCAGCTAGGAACTCAGATGGGACTTGACCATCTAAGATGGTCTCTGATGCTCAAAAGTCTCTCTCTGCTTGGCTTCTCATCATTTAATAGTCTAGCCCAAGTTTTTTTAAAGTGTTGTGGCTGGCTTCCAAGAGTACAAAGCCTCAATATTTAAGTACTTAACAAGCACCATGCTTGCTATTGTCTTACTGGTCAAAGTAAGTCACATACCCAAACCCAGAATCAATATGGAAAGGAAAGTTGCAAAGCCATGAATATTGGGAGTTATTAGTCTTTGGGAACCACTAGTATAGTAGTCTGTCACAGCCTCTGCTTGTCACATGCCATACATAACTGGAATGACTTAAGAAGTGCTAACTAGGCTGGACACAGTGGCTCATGCCTGTAATCCTAGCACTCTGGTAGGCCGAGGCAGGTGGATAGCTTGAGCTCTTGAGTTGGAGACCAGCCTGGACAAGTGGGAGACCCCTTCTCCTACTAAAAATAGAATAAAAACTGAGGCAAGAGGATTGCTTGAGTCCAAGAGTTGGAGGTTGCTGTGAGCTATGATGCTACAGTACAGTACTCTACCCAGGGTCACAGCTTGAGACTGTCTCAAAAAAAAAAAAAAGAAAGAAAGAAAGAAAAGAAAAAGAAGTAGTGGCTCAGCACCCATAGGACAGTGGTTACGGCACCAGCCACTGAGTTTGGCAGTTTCAAACCCAGCCTGGGCCAGCTAAAACAACAATAACAACTGTAACAAAAAATAGCCGGACGTTGTGGTGGGCGCCTGTGTCCCAGCTACTTGGGAGGCTGAGGCAAGAGAATCACTTAAGACCAAGAGTTAGAGGTTGCTGTGAGCTGTGATGCCAAGTCAATCTACCGAGGGGGACATAGTAAGACTCTGTCTCAAAAAAAAGGCATACTAACTATTGGGTGCTTTGTAAGCTAGCAAGAAAAGATTAGTTGGGCCAATCAGACTCTTCTAGGATTTTGAATTGGGGCACTAGAAGAGCAGCTCATTGAGCTAGGGTGAGCTAAGTCCTATAGACTCCAGAGCTGAAGCCACAATTTTGGGACCTGACAAAGCTGATAAGAAGACAGAAAAAATAAATCCATAGGGAGAAAAGAATGGAATAGACCTGCATAGAGAGAGTTGAGAGAGATCAAATTGGCTCTGAGAACTATCAAGAACAGCCTTATTTCCTGGCTTTCCAGTTCACAAGAAGCCTAACTGTTTCCCATCCTTTTGTGCCCATGAAATTACTGATTGCATTTCACAGTAAAGTACCCTTATTTGGAAAAGAAAAACAATGGTAGGTAGGGCCAAATCATAATGGGCATTCAACTACTTCCCCAAAGGATTTGGATTTTCGTCACCAGTGAGGGTTTTTAGAGCATGACTTTTATAACCCATTCAAGTTTTTGGAGAGTAATTCTGGTGTCAATATAAAAGAATTAAATAAATGAAAGTTCATTCAATAAATGTTTATTGAGTGTCTACCATGTACCAAGCACTAGGGATAAAATAGTGAACCATATTGGCACAATCTCTACCTTCATATTTGAGGGGAGGAAGAAGTTGTAGAAGTACATAGTAAACACATCCAAAAAGAACCAAGATGATTACTGAAAGTGATAGTGGCTATAAAGACAATTAAGCAGAGCCCAGCTAGGTGGCGCATACCTGTAGTCCCAGATTGGAGGATTGCTTGAGCCCAGGAGTTAGATAGAGGCTGCTGTTAGATACCGTGTTTCCCCTAAAATAAGACCTACCCAAAAAATAAGCTCTAGCAGGATTTCTATGCATTTGTTAAATATAAGCCCTATCCCAATAATAAGACCTAGTGATGGGCGTGGCTATGCAGATACACCATGCATTTCGGTGTAGAGCGGTAAGGAAGACTGGGATACCTTTTATCTTGCTTTCTCCAAGCCATTCGCACTTGCGCCAGTTCGTGTGTGGTAACTGCGGTTGCGGGCATCCTGTTGCACACGTGCAAACGGCTAGGGGAAAGGAGTTCACGCATCACTAGCGCCGGCCCCACCAACAAGGTCGGCTCCCCCTGTCAGGTTCCAGAAGAAGATGACTTAACTGTATTTGGATAAATGTAGATTGCTGTATTATACTTAATAAAAACAAGACATCCCCTGAAAATAAGCCCTAGTGTGTCTTCTTGAGAAAAAATAAATACGAGACAGTGTCTTATTTTCAGGGAAACACGGTAGGTTGATGCCAGGACACTCTAGCCTGGAGCAACAGAGTGAGATGCTCTGTCTCAAAATCAACAAACAAAAAGATTATGTTGACTGACACAACCATGAGTGTAAGAGCTCTAGTCAATCTAGAATAAAAGGAAATAAAGAGTCAAAGACAGGCTTTCAGTCCTTGGAGAATACTTGCATTGTAGGGACAATCAGAAAAAGAAAATCCAGCAAAGGAAGTTAAGGAAGAATTACAGAGAGTTCTGGTTTGTTTTGGGTTTTTTGGGGGGTTTTTTTTTGTTTGTTTGTTTTGTTTTTGTTTTTTTTTTGAGACAGAGTCTCACTACCACTCTCACCCTTGGTAGTGTGGTGATGAATTTGCTCACAGCAACCTCAAACTCTCAGGTTCAAGTGATCCTGTTGCCGCAGTCTCCCAAGTAACTGGGACTACAGGTGCCCACTACAATACCTGGCTATTTTTTAGAAAAGGGATCTCACTCTGGCTCAGTCTGGTCTCAAACTTGCCTGTGAGCTCAGTCAATCTGCCTGCCTCAGCCCTCCAAGTGCTGGGATTACAGGTATGCACCACTGTGCCCGCCTTATAAGAGAATTCTATCATGGAAGCCAAGAGAAAAAGAATTTTCAAGAAGGAAAGAGGAAGAAGAAGAAGGAAGAAGGAAGAAGAAGAAGAAAGTAGTCAACAATACTATTAGTCCATTTTGTACCGCTATAACAGAATATTGCAGGCTTGGCGCCTGTGGCTCAAGCGGCTAAGGCGCCAGCCACATACACCTAAGGTGGCGGGTTCGAATCC